TATATATATACATGTTCATTCTCAACCCACTTAAAATGGCGTGGTCACCTATTATCTAATATCATCAAACGCTAGCAATCCAATCAATGAAAAGTTTGCTTTTTAAATGAAAAGAAATAAAATCAATAAACTATCACCTTGTCTTATCCTGCTTTGAACATAAAATTGCACAGTAGACAAAGACTAAACAGAACCCCAAACAGCCCACAATCGTCGTAACTATAAGGAGGAAATTTTGTTGAAAAAAATGCATTAGCATTGTTATTTTTCTCTTCAATTCCTAAACTTTCAACTTATAACATCGATATATGACAATAAAACGTTTATAAATTATTACGAATTAGTAATTGCGTTTATCAAAGTGTACAACACGTACCAGTTCCAATTATACAATATTAATTTCATTTTTTAGACAGCAAAACCAGAAGAACATATGCAAAAATTGGCACAACCAAAGAAAAATCGTGTATATCCTACTCGTTTATGAAGAGTTTTTTAAGCTTGAAAAATGCGTTTTAACTAATCAGTAATTTAAAAGCAAGCTTACGTAAAGGCCTACAGAGTAAGCTTACACTAGTCTTCTTCATATAAAAAAGAGTATTGTGTACACGAAATGCTGTGTTAATTAATTAACTGGTCTCAAAACTGCTGGTTTTGCCAGAATTATTGATTTTCATACATTATAACGGCGTACCATATTTGGGAGTTTTCGCAAGTTTACGAAAACGATAACGAATACGGTTACGTCGCGAAAAGTTTAGAGAACCTTTCTCACACAGTAGCACATCTGCCACATGCTATCCATGCCTTTTGCATGAATAATGGATCATATTAAACTTGTACAGATTATTGTCAAGAATGTTTCAGGCACGAATGGCGATAATGATAATGAAGTATTCATTATCGTTTTCGTAATATTAAAGAATTGTTCTGGTTTTTAACTCTTATCCAAGAGTAGTGAGAATGAGTTTTCATGTCAAAATATACGTTAGAATAAATGAAACTGAAGGTATAGTACTGTACATTTGTGTGTGTGTTTGTGTGTGTGTGTGTGCTTTAATTTATAATAATGGAAATAGTAATTTTTCAGAATGATTAGGGCTAGGCCTATTATTTTACAGCAAAGTATATCATTCAGATTGCGGTTTATACTTACATATAACAATATAAGTTGTGTTGGAAGTCTTTTCTGTGATTAAAGATAAGAAAATTAATTAAAAAAACTTTCTTCATTTTTTAGAAAGTAATATTTACTTACACTTAAAAAATATAATTTATAGTAAATAATGATACCAATGTCGATGATCATGATAATGATAATGCAGACGATGCTGTTGATGATGAGCTAGACTAATATTAACAAAACAATAACAATATAAACAAAAGCAACAATAGAAAACGCATAATAACAATAACTATAAAATTAACAACAACAATGTTTATTAATAAAAAATAGTAATTATTATTATTATTAATTACTTTAGCTTACACAACAATAGATGCTACAAAGGCACTGCAGATAGTAAGAAACAGAAACATACAATATATAAATGTTAACAGCTAAAGAACTATATTCAGTATAAGAACATAATTTCACAGAATTACCGTGCTAGGCTGGACTAAGCCACACCCAGAAATTTTACCCCCACCCACCCCGGAGAAGCAACAAAAATAGAGCTGCTTGAAATGAGTCAGTACTTTTATTTCTGAATTTAAAACAGTTGGAAAGGGGCAGAACGAATGCTATGTGTATGGTAATTCCAAAAATGAGGAACAGAAGACTAATATAATTCTGTCACAAACTTTGGGAATTGGACGAAGTGTAACAAGTGAATAGAGCCGGGTGACGTCATAGGCTGAGGATGCTCACAACCGACACCGGCAAGCCATGTAAGAGTCGTGTACTCTTCAGGAACTTTAAAAGTAACTCTACGCCGATAAGCCTATAAAGCTTGATGTGTCGATTCGACGAGAGGTAGTCACAAAAGCCTGGCAGCCACATTTTAAGCTCTTTTGAATCTTCTTGATCTCCTTTTCTGGTAGTTAACGACCCAGCTAACAATATAGTTAAAAGAATGGTATAATAACATTACAGTTGGGAGTTGAAAACAATGTTTTGTAGAACTATAAATACGAACTTAGATTGTAATTTCACATTTTTCCTGCAACGTTTTGTGAACGTTGTTTTCTGAAATACCTAACCACAACATTCTCGAAAGTTATAAGAACATTTTGTGTTTACTGGTGACAATAATAATACTAGCTATATACCTCTACATATACCACTGTGTCTCAAACCATTCGACGTGCAAGTGACGTTAATATAATTATAATCATATTCGTCAGAATCGTCATAACGTTTTGCCTCGAAGCTATCATAGCATATAAGCGTAGTCATTTGGCCCTCTAATAAGGACGACACATCGTAACTGCCTCCACTAACATCACTCGTTAAGTCACAAACCTTTGCGGCTACAGAAACAAAAGTAGGATTAACATTTACTCATTATTTAACACGAGTATGCAATGTTATTACAACACTGCTTGCCAAAAATATAAAAGCCCAAACAATAATACATACATTGTGTAATAAAACATGTAAAAGCATACAACTATAGGATAAGCTTTGGTTTCAGGTATTGCTATAAAAACATTAAAATGTTTAAACAAATTTTATATAAAAATGTTTGTTAAGGTATAACGAAGATCATTATGCGAAAAATCCTGATATTAAAGTTGCTGTTGAATATAAAGCAAATGTTTGATCAGTCGTATAAAACTATTGACAAATAAAACAGACGTAGTATCAACATTAGAACACATACTTAAAAAAATGTAAAGCAAAAGACAATTATAAAATAATATAAATAAACTGCAAAATTGAGAAATGAATGTTACTAACGTCGCATTGTAAGTTGGAAGGGATATTGTCTCTTAACATCCATTGAACTATCAGGTAAATCCAAAACATCTGTAGCGGCAATAGTGTCAAAATTTGAATAACTAGTATCAAAAACAGTAAAATTCATAGTTCCGCCATGATTCTCGCTGAATGAAAACGTGCCAGCTTTGTAGGCTATGGCGACAAAATCTCCGGCTTTCGCTACCACAGTCGACGAGGACGTGAGCTCTTCATCTACTACGGAATTCGTGGAAGTGGAGGTAACGACAGCTTTGCTGACAACCTGGAAGTCATCTTCGGATTGTCGTAGAACGAACAATGTATATGTAGCCTCCGAAAGCGCATGCAGAGAAACATCGGTTACAACAGTGTCACATTTAAAAGGGGCGCCATAAGCTAAAATAAGCTGATCAGAGGAGGCAGTATTGCCTTCGTTTGATAAATCACTTGATCCATAAAATACAGGACATGCAGGATCTAATTAAAACATTAATTCCCGAAAATAGTTAATAGACCAAGTTACATATAACATAAAATAAAACATTTATTGTACAGTACAAATAAAGCTTCATAACAATAGGACTAATCACTTCGTTGTGTTTGGAGGAATGCATTGTATATATTATTTTAGATATCGCGACACAAAAGTAAGCAACAATGTAAAATGCTATACAACACTTACTGGAAAGATAAAGCAATACAAATTAAAATGTATTTTACAAACCAATAAAAACATGTACCTATAAGAATACACTTAAACAAAAATTTAAGATTTTTTAACAACTGGTTGCAGACGAGAAATCAATTGCTTTTTTTTTTTTCATTTTTTGCCATCTTGACGAAGGTTCTGGTTCTGTTGTTTATTTCTATTTTCGGAAGGGATTTGTATTGCGTATTTAAATTTAGGCTTTTTAAAATAAGTCTTATTGTTTTTCTTGAATTTTCTAAGTCTTGTACTGAATATTTCTAATCAAGTAGTCAATTAATCCATCAATTAATCAATACTTCAAATAATAAAAGTTCTATTTCAAGTTGTATAGGCCTATTTACACTAAACTGAATTTGTATAGACATAAACATGTAGTAATATGAAATATTATTCAAATTAAAATGTTTGTCTCCTCCACTCCCCTCCTTAATTAAGGTAGGCCTACTGCTTAGTGATTTTACCTGTCTCCATTAGTGTCGTTGGGTTATCAGGTACATCAGTCGTGATGGTTGTCGTTGCGGACGCTGTTACAGTTGTTACGTCGGTTTCGATTTTCGTTGTAACTTTTGTCGTCACAGGTTTCGTTACTTCAGTGCGTTCGGTTCCGTCCGCAATTGTTGTGTCACTAGTGGTTTTTTCGTCTGCTTCTGTTGTCTTTGATGTGGTACTATCTGATATTGTGGTTTCATCTTTCTTCGTTGTGACAATGTTATTTGTTGTCACCCTTGTTGTCACAACAGTAGTTGCTGGTTTAGTAGTCGCAACTTTAGTGGTTACAATCGGGATTCCAGAAGCTTTTTTTAAAAAAAAAAATGGTAGGCCTAAGGTTATTTTTCTATGTCTATTAGTTATTTTTTATATGAACGAACAAGCACCACATAATCCGAAGTCGTTCATACTACTAATGATATTAACGTTAAACCTATTGGTTTAATATACTGATAGGCCTAGTCGGCTAAACTGGTGGTAGCCAATTTGTGTGCGCTAGAAGCGTAGCGATCTATTGGTCCCCAGTTAAATTCCACCATCGCTGCTCTCCTAGTGTTCCGGCTGGAGTGCTGAAATGCAAGTTTCAATAGCACACCGTCTTTCAGATATAGACATTTTACCTTTGGTCTGATGTGCAATATGACCCATGAGCATGTTAAAGAACGCAGTGCTCTCCTCGAACAATTAAAGAGTAGGGAATTATCTAACCCGGTGCTCAATCACAACCAGATCAAGGACTCCACTGTAAAGAACTCTTCTTCGGAGTTTTGTGAACTATCCGTGGTGTTTACACCGAATAAAATTCATTATCATAATCATAATCATCATCATAATCATCATTATCATCATCATCATCATCATCATCATCACCACCACTATCGTCATTAAAGTTAATATTAAAAAGGACTGCTTGAATGCCAACTGTACTGTATTACTATCAGTAAGCTTTCTAGTCACTTTTCATTACTGTTATTACGAATAATAATTTCAAAATCTTTCATTTAAAAAAAAATGACGTACTGGTACTTAAGTATGTAAGAAGAAATCCATAGCCACCATCGGAATCACTAGCAGATATAAACTGCAGAGTTACCGTCCTTGTTGAGCCAGACGTCCACGTGAAAGGTGAAGCCTGGTTATTACCGTACGTATTCGTAGAAATGCCATCGGAAACCGTCAACGTATCTCCGCCATCCAGCAAAAACATAATAAACTCAACCGTCACTATGTTGTTTTCAGTAAAAGATAGTGTCCACGTGGTATCAAGACCTGGCTGATAGTCGCCGAAAAAATTAGGCGAATAGATAGATCCGTTGCCAGCGTCGGTGACAACAGCGCCCATCGCACCCAATGTCACTGCAAATAATTCAAAACATCATCCCAATAATTATTATCAATACCAGACGGTTTATATAGTGGAATGAATTTAGTGGCAGATCCAGATATTTGAAATAGAGGGGGCCTAGGGGGGACTTTCGCGAGTGGAGTGTCTATAAAACCTCAGCTCAACCCTGGTTTGAAGTGATGTCATAAAATTTATGATTATGACAGAAATGGGCGGAAAGGGCACTTTCGGACTTCAAATTTTATTATAATTTTCTTTTTAATCACCATTTCTTTAATTTTGAAAAATTTAGAGGGTTGCGGGTCGTTTGGCCCCATTGAATCCTCCACTGCATTTAATGTACCATTAATCTTAGTGTAAACAATATCTATGATTATGGTTAGATTAGGTTAGTTCTAAACATTTACTGGCTGGTCGCTTTACATTTACTATCTTATGATTTACTATTAACCACTGCGTTCCGAATGGAAAAATCCATGACTGTGCATCACTTAGTCTCATAACTTAATTGGTAGAGTACGGTACCCAAACGGTAATAGGCAGGTATTGGGTTCAAATCTCAATGGGGGGACATACGTTTATCTTAAAACTTTTAATATTACCTTTAATCATCAACAATAGACGTGTTCCTCATGATACAAAATATTCTTGTCGCGGCCCTGGTTAATACTAATCCTACCACCACCAAACATGAGATTGTGCTACACAAGGTGTCTAGTTCTTTTGAAATAAAGCTCTATCAGGTGTGTGGACACGATAAGAAAAACTAAATTAGAGGTATGTGACCATTATCGTTATGCATAATTATGGACAGCTAGGCTGAAATACTTACCTGGATAAATACTATAAGCATTTACACCACCACATGCTGCTCTACTGTCGTCGGTGCATTCTGTATTACATCGGTCATTAGATAGGGTGGTTAATGTTGTATAATCGCCAGAGAAACAAAAGCATCTGTTATTGTCACCCTGGACACCAAGCGCCGCATACATCGAGTGTAGCCTACACACACCTAAACACGCCTCGATACTTTCTGACGCTGAGCTTACTCTTTTCAAATTTGGTGGGTACGTGCCTTCAGCGATCTCATAACAACCAAGATAAGCAGGCACTATTTAATTTAGAATATAAAAGCAAATGGTTTGCAGAGGTGCATGAGAATGATGACGATTATTTTAAAAGTTAATTTGATAATACTAAAAGCACGGTATTAATAAAATAATAGCAATAATAATAATAATAATAATAATAATAATAATAATAATAATAATAATAATAATAATAATAACAATAATAATAATAATAATAATAATAATAATAATAATAAAAATAATAATAATAATAATAAAAGTAATAATCATTAACGTTGTATAGACATTTTAAAAGTGTTAAACGTACCATTACAAATTATTGCTACATCCTGATTTATACTGCAATCGTCAGAATTAAGATTTGCTCCTGAGTCACAGGAGAGAAGGTTAGGTTCGGTCCCTGTACAATTGTAGTCACTCCACAACATATCCCCAGTTCCAATACCGAAATCACTGCGAGGGGACACACTTGAAAACATTGCTCCTTCCGGGAATCCTACAAACAAAAAAGCAGGGGCCCTATGTTGTGAAAGCCAAATTTCAGAAACTTTCGTGAAGGGGTGGCGCCAGGATTTGCCCGACGGGGTGGGGGATGGGTCCCC